ACAATGCCATATTTATTATTTGCCATATCATAAAAATAACTATGCAAACAAATTAAATTCTTTTTATTCATAAATATATAACAACAAAAATTAAATAAATTAAATTAAAAAAGGATGTTCTAACTTGAACCGATTTTAAATCTGAATTAAGTTTAAACGTCTAATGATTTTTTCTTTTCCTTTCAAATTTAACAACTTAAATCTTTGGCAATTTTAACTACGGAAAGATTAATAATCAAACAACGTGTTAAAATTATCGAAGCCTATTACACTTTGAAATACACAATCGAAACCTTTATACGATGCGTGCTATATAAAGGGTGTTCAAATAACTTGAACCGATTTTAAATGTGAATTAAGTTTAAGCGTCTAATGATTTTTTTTTCTTTTTTTTTCAGATTTAACAAATTAAGTCGTTAGCAATTTCAACCATGGAAAGATTAACAATCAAACAACGTGTTAAAGTTATTGAAGCCTGTTACGAAAATGGACGTTCAAACAGAAATGCAATATGAAGTTCACAGGTCAATTGGCCACTACGATCGTGCAACTTGACACCTTTATGATCATCTCCTTTTGGGGTCATCTCAAAAGTAAGGTCTATGCCAACAAGCCAACAACAATTCAACAGATGAAGGATAAGATAGTAAGGCATATTGGTGAAATTGAGGAGCAACTATGCAGAGATGTCATCCAAAATTTTGATCATCGAGTGGAGGTGTGCCGCCGAAGCCTTGGCGGACATTTGGGCAATATTATTTTTCACACATAATTGCCATGACTTTAATAACATGATCCAATAGAGAAACAAATCAATTTTCACTAGTAACACTGATTTATTTAGTGCTGATTTTGATCCGTTTTAATGAAACACCCTTTATTGAAATTATAAATTTTGTAAAAATGCATTTTCTGAATATGTCTTTCACTTGCTCTCGCCACATAAATTCATACTTTTTTTTCCTTACTAACAACAAAAAAATATTTATTACATGTTTATTTGTAAGGATGGCGTTTAATACTTTTGATGTCAATTCTCGAGAAAAAAGAGAAAGCATAAATCAAATTTTATGGTTTGGTTTTATTAAAATTCTCAAAATAGCTTTTTAAAATAATAAAACTTGCCAAGAGATTAAGCAGTGTCAGATGAAAAGCCAAACTTTTAAGACGCAGTTTGTTTTAGTTGTAACCTACAAAAGGTCACTGAATGAGGAATAACCAAAACAGAGGTTGGGAATGAAATGGTAATCTTTATGACATCAACAAAATACAATACTCGCCAGCGGCGTGAAGTAGGTAAACCACTGCTAGTGGTGGACTACTTAGACACCATATTACCCCCACTTACAATAGTGTCCAACGTATTTATGAGGATTGGGTCTTAGCCATTAGCGTTCATAGGTACGGTATATAACAGTCTTTTTTTCCGGGTTTATTTGTTAAACTTTGCCAAAGAGTCAATAAAATCTTATTCTTTCATTATATTATTTACAAGACTAATTTTATATTTCTTCTTCTTTTATGTGCCGTGTCCTTCCAGGACGTAGGCGATCATGGCTCTCCACCTCCTCCTGTCCCTAGTAGATCTCAAAAAGTTTTGTCTTTTTGCTATTTCCCCCAGACCGTGTTCTGCCATCCACTTGTTTAAGCCCGTTAACTTTATCACACATTGCTTTCTCTTGTCCCTCTTCTCCTCAATCTGCCTTGTGAGTATCAGATTCTCGAAGCCCTCCTTTCTCATTACGTGTTCCAGAAATTTCAGCTGCATCGCCCTGATATAAGTTTCTTCTTTGTTTGCATCCTCTCCGAAACCTCATCATTGATCACATGTTCGGTCGATGGTATCCTTAGCATCCTTCTGTAGAACCACACCTCTATTGCCACGAGTCGCTTATCCATCTTTGAGGAAACCGTCCAATATTCACTGCCGTACAGAAGGATAGACGCCACGTAGCAGTTCAGCAGTCTGCTATGTGATGTACAATTTATATAAAAAAACATGTGAACCAAATACAATGCCATATTTATTATTTACCATTTTATAAAGAAACATTTTCTTTTTATTCATAAATATATAAAAAAAAATGTCCGTGAAGAAGCTAATAAGAAAATTTAAATAAACATTTACCAAGCATCTCCAGAGTCTTTGACAAAATCCAAAGAAGGGTCTGTAATATAATCAATCCTGACCTGGCATCTCGGCTTGAGTCACTTTCCCACGACTGTTACGTGGCCTCTCTTTGACTTTTCCACAAATATTTTCATGGCAATTGTTCTGATGAGCTGTCTTCCTTGGGGCTATTTATTAATTTCTTTTCATTCATTTTACCCCAAGAAAGGCAATAATGTCACTAAGACGCAAGACGCAGTGAAAAAAAAAATGAAAAAACTTTAGTTGAAAGAACCGGGAACCCAAATAGGAAACAAGGCATAAACCCTGTCAAAAGACGGAGAAGGAGTGTGAACCGGGCACTATGAAAACCGATCTACTCTTATTAATTTAGTAAAATCTTTGTTAGTGGAGTAATGGATATCGGCTTGGATTGAGGAATCGGAGAGCCGAGTTCGAATTCCAGTCGAATCCATTACATTCACTTACGTGCTAATACCCTTGGGAAAGGTGTGAATCCTCTTCTTCTCCCTCCTGCTATGGGTAAAATAACAGGACAGACTGGGTTCTATAGCCTTGGATGGCAACTGATCTAGGAGAAGGAATTCAAAACCTGCGGAAGGCCGTTTGGGGACCTTGTGGCATGTAGTACACCAGGTCCCTGTAATCGGCCCTTTGTGGATGGTCCTGCACGAAACCTTCACCACTATAATCAATTCTCATGTGCTATACATGCGGGTTGAGGACCACTTGTGAATTCCAAATTCCCATGAAACTCCAATATTGGAGCCGGCTCAACCCACCCTGGGTGAATGCCTTTACAAGAACAAGAGAGAGAAAATCTTTGTTAGAAAATAGATAAAAACAATAAGAGGTTTTCTATCCCACTACTTCTGGTCAAGGTTGGATATCCAGTGTTAAAAATTTGATTTGTCAAAGTTAATCAAAAAAAAAAAAAACTATTTCAAACATTTCTTAATTGGAAATGAAAATTTCAGATCAGGAATTATATTGCTCAAAATGTATTCGTTTCATCCCAAATTGAATTTTAAGTATAAATTGGATGAATACATTTTTATAACGCATTTTTATTAGCGTAAGTTCTATGTTAATAGGTCCTTCTCTCGCACTTCTCGTCTGTGTAACTCTCTTCCAGCTTCTTGTCTTCCTGTCAACTAGAATCTTCAAAATTTTAAATGCAACGTCAATCATCATCTTCTCCCTCTTTGAATTCTGTTCTTTTAATGTTATCCATTTTCCTTTCTCTTGCTCTGTCTTTCTCTCTTTCTCATTGTCTCTTTCTTGTTTTTCATTCTCTCTCTATCTTTCTCATCCTCTTTTTCTCTCTGTCATTCATTCTCTCTCTCTTTCTCATTCTTTCTCAATCTCATTCTGTTTCTCTTCCTTTCTCATTAAGTCTCATTCTCTCTCTCTCTCTCATTTATTCTCTCTCTTATTTAATCTCTCTCTCCTAAACGTTTTCTGAGTTTCTTTCACTTTCGGTAACATCTTGCATCTTAGTGGCTTTATCGTCTTGATTGGGGCGAAATGATTACAAAAACACATTAACTCTTTTAGAGCTTTAAGCGTACTATTAAATTGAAAACTTTTACTGTTGAACGTGCTAGATGCAACCGCATGTTCTACCATAATAGTTTCTTCTCTCGCACTTCCGCCTGTGGAACTCACTTCCGGTTTATTGCTTCCCTGCCGTTAACAAGTTCCAAAATATTTAAACGAAACGTCAGTCGCTAACGTCTTCCTGTGTCCTGATCTTTTATTGATCTTTATCCTCAATAAAATTTTCTGATTCTTGTAACGCCTTAGTTGCTTTATCGCCTTGCTTGATTGTGTTAAATATTTTCTTTTTCAGTTCTTGAGGGAGAAAATAAACACGAACAGATTATTTTTTTTTAATCGATTCACCCCAAGCAAGGCGGGAAGCCACTAGGACGCAAGGGGGGTACAGAAGATTTGGAGCAAGATCAGATAGGAGTGATAGAAGAAAGGATGAGGAGAAGGATAGTGGATATATCAAGGCAACTGGAGATGTCGATTGACATTACATTTGAATAGCTGGAGATTATAGTTCTCAGGGAAACTAGAATAGGGAAAAGAGTTCCACAGGCGAGTGGTGCGAGACATGAAGCTATTGAAGTAGAAGAAACGACTACATTTAGGAGTTTCGACAGTGAAGGGGTGAGAGCGGGATGCCAGCCTCGTAGGGCGCTTGAACTCATGAAGTCTGGGAACCAGCGAATGCAGCTCCTCGGAGCAATTGCCATGAAAGTATTTGTAAAACAGACAGAGAGAGGCGAAGGCGCGTCTGTGAGAAAGTGACTGTAGACGAGATGCCAGATCAGGGCCAATTATATTGCATATCCGTCTCTGGAGCCTATCAAGAGCCCCGAGGCAAACAGAAGGGGCTCCAGACCATATATGGCAGTAATACTCCATGCAAGGGCGAATTGTTGATTTATAGATCTGGAGGATCGATTCCGGGGAGAAAAATTTCCTGGCGCGGCACAGGGAGCCAACTTTCCTTGCGGTGGACGAAGCAATGTTTTGGGTTTTATTAGAATTTAAAAAATAGCTATTTCAAACAATAAAAGTGTCGAGGGGTGTAAGGTAAAAGCGGTGTAAAGCGAAAAAGCGTCCTTTGAAATACCGTGGTATTTTACGGGTACTTCTTCAGGCTAATAAAACAGCTCGGCCCCTGAGTTTATCAGAAGCAGTGAATGCCCACCGTGGACATATGCTATCCCTGCGATCGTAACCTCATAAACTGCAGTGTCTTTGCACAAGAAACGAAGAAACAAAAAGGTCTGTCCGAGATCACATCGATTGCAACAAGGTTAATAAAATATCACAAGACCGACGTAATATGTTAATGTCAAGTCGTAATCGTCAATCCTCCGCAGATATCTTTAAACTGCGGCGCAAGGGTGTCATCATATTTGGTTGTCTCAAAAGTTCGTAAACACTTGCAAAAAATTGAATTTTTATGGAACACAATCCAGCACAATCGAGACAAGCGATGGGTTCAGAAAGGGCAAGAGACACCGTCGGTTCCAAAACAAGATCGATTCGGCAAGAAAGTCATGTTGTGCGTTTGGTGGAACTTTGAAGGAATCGTGCATTTTGAGTTGGTTCCGAATGGTCGTGCCATCAGTGCCGAACTTTACTGTCAGCAACTGGAGCGGGTCTACGAAAAGTTGAAGCAAAAGTACCCGGCTCTGATCAACCGAAAGCGCGCTTTGATGCAGCAGGACAATGCCAAGCCACACACCGCCAGGAAGACCAAAGACAAGTTTGAAGATCTGGACGGCGTTGAGGTTCTGCCACATCCAGCCTACAGTCCGGACTGTGCTCCATCAGATTACGGCCTTTTCCGCTCAATGCAACACTTTCTGAAGGGCCGCCGATTTGATGAAGTCGAGGAAGCGTGTCAAGAATTCTTTGATTCGAAGCCGGCTGAATGGTACTTTCACTAGATCCGAAAGCTTACAGATCAATGGCAGAAAGTCTTGGAAAATGATGGTCTTTATTTTGAGGAATAATTTTTGTTGTTTTTGTCATTACTTGGCGAGTAAAATTTCAATTTTTTGCATGTGTTTACGAACTTTTGGGACAATCTAATATTTGGTTCATTTGTTACAGAGCTGGTACTTTTAGATTGGAGATTCATCTTTAAGTTTCTGCTCATTAAAAACTGAAACACTAAAAAATAGAGACTTGGATTCGAAGGTGTTCGCCCTACTCATTCTTATAGAAAAGATCTCAACCAGATAACATATATGATTTAATAAACAAAGACGTAGCGTAAGCGTGACAGTAATTAACAGGGGTTGAAAGTCGAATAATTGTTCTGGCTATAACAATGGGTTATTATGGTTAATAGGGATGTTGGTTAAATTTTTAGGATGCACTATATATAGACACTGTGAATTTCAGTCAATAATATCCGTTTGCATTAGAAATATTTACAGTAGATTATTTGGCAGTGTGTGATTACATTATAAAACAAGAGATCTGGTCATTATATTTCAAATAAATATATAATATAGCTATAATAAGCATATTCTCTATGTCTCGCTTAATGTGTGTGATATGCACACCTTATGTTCTTAGAATTGTATCATTCAGAAAATGTGTAAAGAATTAAGAATACACACGCTTATGTTAAAGAATTAAGAATTGGTTGAAATCATTCACAGAAAATGAAAGACAAAAAGTAAATGAAACACGTACAAAAGAATTAAGAATAATGGTTGAAATTGCTTCATCACGCAGAAAATGAAGATGAAAATAAATACACGTAAAGAATTAAGAATAATGGTTGAAATTGCTTCATCACGCAGAAAATGAAGATGAAAGTAAATACACGTAAAGAATTAAGAATAATGGTTGAAATTGCTTCATCACGCAGAAAAATGAAGATGAAAGTAAATACACGTAAAGAATTAAGAATAATGGTTGAAATTGCTTCATCACAGAAAATGAAGAAAATAAATGTAAAGAATTAAGAATAATGGTTGAAATTGCTTCATCACGCAGAAAATGAAGATGAAATAAATACACGTAAAGAATTAAGAATAATGGAAATTGTTTTCACGCAGAAATTGAAGATGAAATCACGCAAAGAAATGAATGGTTGAAATTGAGAAAATAAATACACGTACACGTAAAGAATTAAGAATAATGGTTGAAATTGCTTCATCACGCAGAAAATGAAGATGAAAGTAAATACACGTAAAGAATTAAGAATAATGGTTGAAATTGCTTCATCACGCAGAAAATGAAGATGAAAGTAAATACACGTAAAGAATTAAGAATAATGGTTGAAATTGCTTCATCACGCAGAAAATGAAGATGAAAGTAAATACACGTAAAGAATTAAAAATAATGGTTGAAAAATGAAGATGTAAATACACTTCATCACGCAGTAAAAATGTAAAGAATTAAGAAAATGGTTGAAATCATCACGCAGAAAATGAAGATAAGAAAGTGGAAATAAGAAATTAAGAATAATGGTGAAATTGCTTCATCACGCAGAAAATGAAGATGAAAATAAATACACGTAAAGAATTAAGAATAATGGTTGAAATTTTTATCACGCAGAAAAAAATGTAAAGATGAAAATGAAAATACACGCAGAAAATGAAGAAAAGAATAAAAGAATAAAGAATTAAGAAAATTGAAATTCATCACGCAGAAAATGAAGATGAAAATAAATACACGTAAAGAATTGAAAAGTAAATACACGTAAAAAGTAAAGAATTAAGAATAATGGTTGAAATTGCTTCATCACGCAGAAAATGAAGATGAAAATAAATACACGTAAAGAATTAAGAATAATGGCTGAAACTGCTTCATCTGAAGATGAAAAATAAAAATGAAGAATGAAAAGTTGAAATACACGTAAAAAAAAAAAAAGAAAAAAATAATGGTTGAAATTGCTTCCTCTCACCGAAAATAAAGATGAATGTAAATACTAGTGAGAAAGTAAGAATAATGGTTAACATTTCTTTATTTAATAATAAAGGAACATAAAAGGAAATACTTGTCAAAAATTCATTTAATGGATGTCACAGTCAGCTTGTAAATGGAACGAAAGGAAGGTTAGGTTTACGGTCAGGGTTAGGGTTAGAGATCGCTGAAAGAAAGGAAATACTAAAATAAACAATGACAAAATTATGACATTTGATATCCGCGTCCCTTTTGGCTAGCAAAAAAGAAAAAACGAATAAATGGCGTCCATCCCTCACAAAAATATATTGGTTTTGGCTATTGTTTTCTACATTCTTATTGGTGTCCACTTAGTGTTTATGTTGAACATTTGTCGGTGGGGGGGGGAGCAGGAGCCTTCAATCGTAAGATTGTTGTTGATAACAATTAGGATAACGAGAACACAAGTCGCTGTTGATATAAAAAGTCGCGTCGGGTCGGAACGAATTGTTTAGTCTGCTCGATTCTGACACGATAGAAAATAAAATAAAATAACACAGACATGAAGTAAAATCCAACTGTTTAATTTCAGTGGCCATAAAATGTTGGTTATTTTTAGGAATTGTTGATAAATTGGTACTTCACTTGGTAGAATTGTGAATTTCAAGTAAAGGCAAGAAAATATCGAACATCTATCTATCTATGGTCACATCTGTCTATCTATCTCTCTATCTATCTATGGTCACATCTATCTGTCTGTCTATCTATCTATCTATGGTCACATCTATCTATCTGTCTATCTATCTATCTATGGTCATATCTATCTATCTATCTATCTATCTATGGTCACATCTATCTATCTGTCTATCTATCTATCTATGGTCACATCTATCTATCTGTCTATCTATCTATCTATGGTCACATCTATCTATCTATCTATCTATCTATCTATCTATCAGATGTTCTTTCTGTCATCATCTATTTTCATAATCTATCTATCTATCTATCTTCATCATCTTTATTTTATCTTCCATCAGATGTTCTTTCTGTCATCATAATTATCTATCTTCTATCTTCATCTGTTTATTTGTCTTTGTTAATCTATCTATCTATCTATCTATCTATCTATCTATCTATCTTCTCCCTTTATCTCTTCATATCTATCTTCTCCTTTTATCTCTTCATTATCTATCTATCTATCTATCTATCTATCTATCTATCTATCTAAGTCTGTGCATATCTATCTATCTATCTATCTATCTTCTCCCTTTATCTCTTCATATCTATCTTCTCCTTTTATCTCTTCATTATCTATCTATCTATCTAAGTCTGTGCATATCTATCTATCTATCTATCTATCTATCTATCTATCTATCTAAGTTTATACTTTTTATCTTTTATCATCATTTATATATCTAAGTTTATATCTATCTAGATATCTATCCTTGTTAATATATCTATTTATTTATCTGTTAATATCTAAGTTTATATCTGTCTCTCAATCTATCTATCTTCATATTATCTCAGATCTTCTATATTCATTTAGCTATATATCTAAGTTTATAGCGATGTAGATATCTATGTTTGTTAATATCTATCAATTTATCTGTTAATATCTCTCAATGAAAGTTTCTTTCTTCAAATGTATCTATCAGATCTTCTTTCGTCATCTGTCTATTAGATATTCTATCTACAATTATCTATCTATCTATATGTATGTATTGTCTCTCACACTATTCCTCACCACCCTCTATGTCAACTTATATAAGCTTAATACTGCCCGTCAAAAGTGTAAACCTTTAATTCATTTTTCGTTTCACCTTTGAAAGTGAAGTCTGAAGATCCAGAGAAAAATAAAATTCTCTGGTGAAATAAATTATAACTAATGGAGCCTTCAAGTTGTATGTTTTTTTAAGTTAAATAAAATATTTGTATATATATTAATATTTGTTTATTTATCTATCTTCATCTTTATTAATATCCATTTATCTGGTTATATCTATCTATTAATACCTACCTATGTGTTATCTATCTATCTGATATTCTATCTTCAACTATCTAAGTTTATGTCTATATGTTTATTAATATCTATCTATTTATCTGTTAATATCTCTTCTTCTATCAATCTATTTGTTAATATTTATCTATTTATTTAAGTATATATCTTCATGTATCTGTCTTTGTTAATGAATCTATCTATCTATCTATCTATCTATCTATCTATGTCTGTCTGTCTCTCCATATATATATATATATATATATATATATATATATATATATATATATATATATATATACCTGTTAATATATATATATATATATATATCATAAAATAATATTGGGAATTATTTTCCATGAATTACGTCGTTTGCCCTTGTACTTGATTCTGGTCTTGCTAAAGCAAAGATTAATGATACACATATTTTAAAATATACGCGCACACACACATATACACATGTACATATATAGACACACACACACACACATATGCATATACACATATACATATATAGACACACATGCACAAAAGAACACAGAGAAATACATTCATATATTAGCAAACACAATCCCGTCTTCTTCTTCAACCTATCTCCCTACTCTCTCTCTCGTTCTCTTTCTCTTCCTCTCTATCTTACTCTCACTCTCTCCTGCTCCCTCTTTGCCTAGAAAATATTTCTGACTCTCCCCCCCCGTCTGTCTACCCACCCCCCGCCCCCAATCTCTCCATCTCACATTTTAGATGGAATCCTCGCATGCCGGAAGCCAGGTTTGTTGATTTTAATAAAATTGAAGGACAAAAAAAAAAAAAAAAAAATGAAAATTATATATATTTTTTTTAAATGGTGAGTCATATTTTTCGACCGAGACTGTGCGTAGGGGTATGGTAAAATTCACAAGGGCCAAATATTATCAAGTCTTTGCATTTCAGTCGAATTCTGATCGAAAAAAAAAGTATTATTTTAAAAAAAAAAAAATTAAATAAAATAAAACAAAAATTCGCTTCCCCCCACGATTGCACCAAGTCCCTGTGTGTGACAAGATGTTGTGAAATGATTATTCATTTTAGATCAAGCAATGAAGGGAGCCAACCGCCCAGGCCGCGTATACAAGACATTATTACATAAGAGGGGATGCGTGATAAAAAATGACTAGCAGTGTGGCTGAGAATGTGTTGTCTTTTATGGGCCTCTCGGACACAAAATGATAACAATGGAAATCTTGATGACAAAGAAACACAATAAAAGGCAGGTAGATAAAGATATGAAGAAAAATATACGGAAAAAACAAACAAAAATTCTTATATGCAATTATGTTGTTTTAATGTTAATATAATGTCAACGTCGGACGTTTGTTTAAACCATCTTCAGGATTTTTTAAAACCATTATCAATTTTTAAAAATTTCACTTATCCAAACAAATAACTGATAAGTTTTATAAGATCATGTCCGTTTGACAACAACGTGACCATGTTTAAACGGAATAATTTTAAAATTAAATTTTTTGAATATGTCCTTATGTTCATCGTCTTTGTCATGTTGAATTGATAATGTTATATTTTGCGAATATGTTCTGAAGATGGTTTATTAGACCGAAAACGTCCGACGTTGACATTATTAACATTAAAACAGCATAATTGTATATAAGGATTTTTTTTGTTTTTTTGATATATTTTTCTTCATATTCGGATCTATATCCATATATTTGCTTACAGATAAAGATATATATATATATATATATATATATATATATATATATATATATATATATATATATATATATATATATATATATATATATATATATATATATATATATATATATATATACATATATATATATATACATATATATATATATACATATATATATATATATATATATATATATATATATATATATATATATATATATATATATATATATATATATATATATATATATATATATATATATATATATACATATATATATATATATATATATATATATATACATATATATATATATATATATATATATATATATATATATATATACATACATATATATATATATACATACACATATATACATATATATATACATACATATATATATATATACATATATATATATACATACATATATATATATATATATACATATATATATATATATATATATACATACATACATACACATATATATATACATACATATATATATATATATATATATATATATATATATATATATAAAGAGAGAGGGGGGCTGGGGGACTGAGAGAGAAAGAGTGAGAGACCAATGAACGAAAATGCAGAGTAGTAGGTGGATAGGAAAAGTAAGAATAAAAAAAGGGTAGGAGGAAGGTAACACGAGGAAAAGAAGAGGGTGAAGAGGAAGAAACAAAACAAATGCAAGTAGATAAAGAAAGAGGGATGGTGAAAGAGAAAGAGAGAACGAACGAATGAAGGAGAAAGAGGGAGATGGATAGGAACTAAAGAACGTGAGCGGTAAAAAGGGTAGGAGGAATATGACAAGAGAAAAAGAAAAAGGCAAAGAGGATGAAACAGTAATGTCGTCATCATTCATGATAAGGAGACAGCTTTATGTTTTAGAGTTACAGAATACTTTAAGGACTGTAGAGAAGTGATTCAACTCAAAGACGGGCAGAGGACTAACAGTAATAATAGTGTTCAGATAAATGGAGAAAAGTAAGGACTGAAATTGAATATAAACGGGCCAAGGAAAAAAATGAACGTACGTGTCTGACAGGCATCTAGGTGGTTTCATTCCTAGACTGTTTACCAACAAAATCTAGAGATGCTAACCCCCCTTGCTATTTAACCCATAGCTGGGAGAAAAAGAGGTGTTTTCATTCCCAGTCTGTTTGACAATCGATGTTAGAGATCCCAATCAGCCTTGCTATTTAACCCATATCTGGGAGAAGAAGAGTTGGTTTCATTCCTAGTCTGTTTGACAATCGATGCTAGAGATCACAATCAGCCTTGCTATTTAACCCATAACTGGGAGAAAAAGAGTTGGTTTCATTCCTAGTCTGTTTAACAATCGATGCTAAAGGCCAATGGCCTTTTATTTAACCCATAACTGGGAGAAAAAGAGTTGGTTTTACTCTATTTGAAAATCGATAATAGATATCCCAATCAGCCTTGCTATTTAACCCATATCTGGGAGAAAAGAGTTGGTTTCATTCCTAGTCTGTTTGACAATCGATGCTACAGATCACAATTGCTATTTAACCCATAACTGGGAGAAAAAGAGTTGGTTTCATTCCTACTCTATTTGACAATCGATGATAGAGATCCCAATGAACCTTACTATTTAACCCATACCTGGGAGAAGAAGAGTTGGTTTCATTCCTAGTCTGTTTGACAATCGATGCTAGAGATCCCAATCAACCTTACTATTTAACCCATATCTGGGAGAAGAAGAGTTGGTTTCATTCCTAGTCTGTTTGACAATCGATAATAGAGATCACAATTTGACATTTGACAATCGATGCTAGAGATCCCAATCAACCTTACTATTTAACCCATAGCTGGGAGAAGAAGAGCTGGTTTCATTCCTAGACTGTTTGCCAACCAATGCTAGAGATCGCAATCTACCATGCTATTTAACCCATAGCCGGGAGAAGATGAGGTGGTTTAATTCCTTGGCTGTTTGCCAGAAGAGATGGTTTCATTCGTTTGCCATGGATATTTGTGCGAAAGTCGAGCGCAGTTCAGCTGGAATTTGAACTCGGCACGCCAATTCCGCACACCGCTCGATGGCAACAACGCAACGCGCGTATGACCGTATAAATAGTCACAGACCAGGAATATACATAAAATTAATCATTGAAGCGAAAATAAATAATAAAAAAAAAATAGAAATAAATCTTCTAACTGAACCCTTAATTTTCTCCATCGGAGTAGATAGTTCAAGTTCCACGTGCCAGGCCTCTTCCTCAGTATCAGTTATCTCCCTTTAACTCAACTCTCCAAGTTTTGTTGAAACACCTAGAATATGATAACGAAGATGCGACAACAGTCCGAACAATGTAATAGTCTAAATATTACAATAGCTCATCTCAGAAATATAGACAAATCCTGAAGAAGGTTGGAGCGTACAACCGCCGAAACGTCTAGAATATGACAACGAAGATGCGACAACAGTCCGAACAATGTAAATAGTCTAAATATTACAATAGCTCATCTCAGAAATATAGACAAACCCTGAAGAAGGTTGGAGCGTACAACCGCCGAAACGTCTAGAATATGCCAACGAAGATGCGACAACAGTCCGAACAATGTAAATAGTCTAAATATTACAATAGATCATCTCAGAAATATAGACAAACCCTGAAGAAGGTTGGAGCGTACAACCGCCGAAACGTCCAGAATATGACAACGAAGATGCGACAACAGTCCGAACAATGTAAATAGTCTAAATATTACAATAGCTCATCTCAGAAATATAGACAAACCCTGAAGAAGGTTGGAGCGTACAACCGCCGAAACGTCTAGAATATGACAACGAAGATGAGACAACAGTCTGAACAATGTAGATAGAGTAAATAATTAAAAGACCTCATCTCAGAAACATAGACAGACACTGAAAAAGACCTGAGCGTACAACCGCCGAAACGTCTAGAATATGCCAACGAAGATGAGACAACAGTCTGAACAATGTAGATAGAGTAAATACTTAAAAGACCTCATCTCAGAAATATAGACAGACCCTGAAGAAGGCCAGGGCGTACAACGGCCGAAACGTCTAGAATATGACGAGGAAGATGCGACAATAGTCCGAACAATGTAAATCGAGTAAATAATTACAATAGTTCAACTCAGAAATATAGACACATCCTGAAGAAGGCATGAGGTTTTTTAAAAATGCAGAAGCGAATTATTACTCGCAACAGTTACATTTTCTCCTGCTGCCAGCACTCGAGCCAGCACTGACACCGGGGAAACCACCACCACCACCACCACCACCATTCCTGCTTTCGCAAAAAATTACAATAATTATAATAGCAATTACTAGTAATGCTACTGTTACTACTATTACTATTCATTACTTTTTAAGATGAAAGGTAAAAGAAACACGATGTAATACTCGTGATGCTGACGGAGCCATTCGATTTAACATTAATTATTATTGAGTAAAGACGGGATAAGCAGTTATTATAATTGCGATAATGGTCTTCGATTTGCGGAGGCAAATAATAGGAGCCCAAAGCGTGTACTATAATGGTAATATGGATAAAAGTGTTAGGCATGACTAAGTGAAGAGAGAGAAGGCCTATAATAATTATGGTGATGGGGATAATAGCGTAGAGAGGGAAGGCCAAAGACTATATAACCGTAAGTGGTATAAAAACGTTAGGCATGACGAAGTAATGAGAGAGAGAGAGAGAGAGAGAGAGAGAGAGAGAGAGAGAGGAGAACTATAACTAGACTACTATGTTAATTGAGATAATAATAAGAAGGAGGGCCAAAAACAGCCCTATAACGTTTTCTAGGGATAATAGAGTCATGCCTGTCTAAGTAAATCCATGGAAGGCCAATGACTATACAACAAAAGTAATAATGATAATAGTAAAAAGTGGGAAAATCAAATATTTCAGTTGCACAGATGTGCATGTGTTCGACTAACCTTAATCAGGTGAGCATCTCCATTAGCGCTGACGAAGATACA